TCTCTCTCTCTCTCTCTCTCTCTCTCTCTCTCTCTCTCTCTTCTCTCTCTCTCTCTCTCTCTCTCTGCGACCTGAAATTAGCCGGAGCGCGGAGAGAGCGCTTATACCCCCATTCCACTGGAACGGCGCTCTCACGACGCGCTCTCTGCGACCTGAAATTAGCCGGAGCGCATAGACAGGCCTGAGAGATCGCTAAGGTCGCCATGAGAGCGGCATGAGAGCGGCATGAGCGACTGTTTTGAACCGGTCGCTCATACCGTCGCCGCGAGAGCGCCAAGGACGGCGATCCAAAAATGAGCTCAGAGAGAGAGCGCCATGAGAGCGCCATGAGAGCGCCATGAGAGCGCAGAGATCGCCGTGAGCGCACATTACAAACATGACGAACTTGGCGATCTCTCAGCGCTCTCTTCGCGTTCTGAACAATTTCAGGTCGCAGAGAGAGCGCGGCGAGAGCGCCCTCAAGTGGAATGGGGGTATTAACAAGTCTTCTTACCTGACTGACAGTTGCTCCCTGCCCAGCCGTCGGCACATCCGCCTAAACACGCCCCAGTCACGTGATTACAGGAGGCGTTTCCGTTCAAACAGCGACATGATTCAGAGCAGGTCGGTCCAAACACTCCCGTCGGGCAAACTAGAACAAAAATGGACCAAAGTTCAGTCATAGAGATTTTCTTCATTATCAGGCCTAGGAAAAAATGCTGTGTTTCCTGTTTCCCGACCAACCCTAGAAAAAACTGCCGACCCTAGGATTTCAACACGGCCTGCGACTTATTGGCCCTCTCTAGCTTCATGATCTTTGGGTGATGAAACGTTCACGTTACTCAATCGGTTTTCCAACATTGATATTGAAAGTGTCCTCATGCAAGTTTTACTTTGTTAAACTGTATTGTGTAAGTTCGATCACTAGGGATTGCTAAATTTAAAAAAAAATGAAAGAAAAAAAGATAATCCCTACCTACCGACCCTAAGTTTTTCAGGGCTGAAACAGAAAACGCAACATTTTTTCCTAGGCCTTAGTTCCTTGCAATGATGTACACACAACATATAGTTGCCACTATAAAAAATAGATGTACCGGTAACATGTGTCTTTATCGCAAGACAACATGAACGTGATGATATGCCGATATAACTTGATACCGAGTGGAGGGTATATCTTACCTGGGAAGTCATCCGGCCTTACTTTCAGTGACGTCAGTTTCAATGAGTAAGTGTAGCCTCTCCATCTTTCCCAGTTAACTCCCTGTGCTCTACCCGAGTCGTTGTATCGTCCGTTGAGCATTGCGTACCCACAACTAGCCGGAAACCACCATCCTCCTCCTCCGAATGAACTCGCACAGTTTGTGATCGTACTTGGGTCATTATCGTTGTCTGAGGTCGTAAATCTACGACCGTTTATATTAAGACGGCTATTACTATCGGTGAGACTGTCTCCGGCATCACCTGCGTACCCGCTGATACTGACCTGATACTCCGTACTGCTGCCCCCAACGCTAAAACTGTCGTAAGTCGCGTACCTACTTTGACCCTCCCAATCCCCTAAATCGACTCGCAGAGTGTACGCCTTCTGTCCCGTGATTTGGTTCTGCTTGCTCAGTCCTAGCCAGTGCTCTCCGTCGAGGTTACCGAACCCCTGCTGGTAGTCTGCCCAGTTCTTGGCGAAGTCCACGGACCCGTCCTGGCGGCGCTGGATCATGGTCCACCCGCCGCCTGAGTTCATCATGTCGCAGTAGACAAAGACGCGGGGATCGCTGACGGCGTTGACTCCGCTTTCAATGATCCCGTCTTCATACAGGTCAGCGCAGTCCTGGGGCGTGTGTGCGCCTGATGTGAAACAGAAAAAAAGCGTACTTAGATGGCATGATCCTTTTTTTCATACACTAGCGATAACAAAGTTTTAATATTGAGAAAAAAACTAACTGGTATCAGAAAGTGAACAAGCAAGACACACCCTTCAATATCACCAGATGTTAACGTCAATGTATTTGTAGAAAGAATATTTTACCTGCGAAGTCAGCAGGCCTGATCATGATGGTTGTTGTCTTTAAGAAGTAACTCCTGCCTCCCCAACTCGACCAAACGACTCCCTGTGATTCACCACAAGAGACCGAACTCTGGTGACAGTTATACCGTCCGTTTAGGAAGGACTGTCCACAACTTGTCGGGTACCACCATCCACCTTGACTGAATGAAGACGCGCAGTGCACGTTGTTTTCGTCATTATCTCGATCCAGTGTAGAAAACATTTTTCCGTTAATGTTGGGCCGTCCACTGTTGGTTAGACTGTCCCCTGCGTCTCCACTATATCCAGAGATGGACACCGTATAATTACCGCTCGCATCCCCGACTGCTACCGTGCCGTACCGCGCGTACCGTCTACCGCCATCGAAGTCTTCAAGCTCGATCTGCAGAATGTTACTTTTCGCCGTGGTCAGTGTGTGGATATTCTCCAGCCCCAACCAAAACTCTCCGGTCAGGTTGCCGAACCCTTGTTGGTATTCCTCCCAGGCTTTGGCGAAGTCCACGGATCCGTCTTGCCGGCGCTGAAGGACGGTCCAGCCGCCGCCCAGGAAGCTCATGTCACAGTAGACCCGGTACGGGCTGGGCTCGCCGACTGTGTAGGTCCCGCTCTGACGGGTCCCGGCGGCGAACAGGTCCGCACAGTCCTGCGGCGGGCTTGTACCTGTGACGGACAAACGAAATGCTTTTGAAACGTTTCGAATTAAAGGCTCTGCTTTTAAAGCGATGTTATACAAGATTTTTGCGCCAAGCCTGTAAATATAGATAATAGAAATGTTCTCATCTATATTGTCATTTTTAATAACTTTCAACATATAAGCGTCGCTACTCGCTTTTCCGGCGACTCAGCGCAGCGCAAGAATATACGGTTGCGCCAGGCCCGCTGTATTTTTAGGAGGCTCCTAAAAAGAAAGTAAACAAACAGCGGTTTTCGGTCGGGTATCTTCCGCAGCTTCAACAGGCTTTTGCGGCACAACGACGTTGATCTTTTACTCCCCAAATGTCATTATGAACCCAGCTAGGCTTATAGCGCAAACAAATGTAAAACAACGATGTTTGTCAGTTTGAAATAGTGAAAAATCTTACAAAATATCCCTTTAAGGCATTGCAAAAACATTTCACAGTCTTACTCGCCATTGGATGTTGACAACACCCTTCCCCCGCCGACAACAAAGAGGTATCAATTTCTAAGGTCACTGAAGAGTTATTATGTTTACCGAAGGAAAACATATTGTTTTTGCTCAGTTTCCTCTTCTTCTCTTCTACAAAGTGACCTCTGACCTGGCCAATGACCTGATTTGTTGATGTCTGTCACCATGGTAACTGCTGCTGGGTTACATAATGTTGCAATTTCATAGTAGGAGACTCCTGTCTGACCAGGAGACTTCTGTCACCATAAATGTGAATGTGTTTGAGAGAAGACCATATGTACCACCTTAGTACCACCTATGTACTACCTAAAGAGTTAATGGGGTGGACACCCTTTTACAAAGCGTCTAGGCGGACAGTCGTCTCTGCCAGTCTAGATTCAGGATACGCCAAAAAAGGCTACTCAAGCATCTGGATATGACTTTGAAAACGGTCAGACGTTTCATGTATAGCATTCACTACCTTACGTCAGTGACACTGGAGACTTGTCAGAAAGATTTCTGGCGCCAAGGTAGTGGACTTCTGACAAGTCTCCAGTGTCACCGACGAAAGGTAGTGGACGCTACCTGAAACAACTGACCGTTTCCGAAAACATATCCAGTTGGTTGAGGAACTGTTCCTTGGCGTATCTTATTACCTGGATGTCTAGCCTTTACCGACGCACATTCAGGATAATCCATACATGCCTATGGGTGCCTAATAGTATTCAAACGGTCACAATCTTGTTAAGCATGCACTCAGCCCCTAAGTCTAAGGTTAGAGAACTTAGTTGAGTTACTTCGCGTAGGTGAAAAATCACATTACATTACATTACATAGCAACGCATTGTTTACTCCTAGTCTCTAGACGTGTTTATACAATGCAACATTGTAACGCTCTAAAGAAGGAAATATATGTGGGAACGAGCTTTGACATGTTCCGTTCGAATGGTTAGAATATTGATCAGGGGTGCCAGAGTATACAGTGCAATTTTACGGAATACAAAATACGAAATTCAGTAGAATCGTATTAGTATACAGTGCAATTTTACTAGTATACAGTGCAATTTTACTAGTATACAGTGCAATTTTACTAGTATACAGTGCAATTTTACTAAATACAGTACAATCGTATTAGTATACAGTGAAATTTTACGGAATACAGTGCAATTTTACTAGTATACAGTGCACTTTTACTAGTATACAGTGCAATTTTACTAGTATACAGTGCAATTTTACTAAATACAGTATACAGTACAGTGCAATACTAATACAATTGCACTGTATTCCGTAAAATTGTACTGTATACTAATACGATTGCACTGTATTCCGTAAAATTGTACTGTATACTAATACGATTGCACTGTATTCCGTAAAATTGCACTGTATACTCTGACAAGAAAATGCTTGTTTTTTTACCGTCGACGACACTGGTGAGTAGACCGAGCCAGGCGATAGAAAGGAGTGGAATTACTCCTCTGATCCGCCCCATGATTTCTTGGTCGAGCTTCCTCTTCTCAGCAAACCGTTCGTGGCATAAGTTTCCACTCAACTTCCTTATGCGCCATGACGCCAAAACAAGGTCAAAGGTGACATAAGGGGTACCGCCATTTTTCGTACGAAAAGTCTTTATTTAATCAATGACCATCAGATTAGGATGGAATAACTTTCAAACATGTGCTGAACAGAGTACAGGTGATTAATACAGTCCGTATTCGACATTAATTGATATTTTGGCGCGTTGGCCAATGGGCACCATGATCGTCTGTGTTCACAACACTGCGCATTCCGTTCTTTGTGTTCTTTGTATCCATTCATAGTGGATCGTATTACCTGAACTGCGTAAACATGGCTATGTATGTTACCTTGGCCGGTCGGATCTCTATGTCCCTGGGAAAATGTAAGGCCACAACAAGTAATCTTATGGATGACATCAACGCGCGCATTAATTTTCTCCTGATTTTGGGGGAAAAAAAGAAATTTTGTTGCCTTCTGACAGTGGTCAACATGCCGAAAATGGGCAAATTTAGCTATGCCGGGACGTGGATGGCAGATAAATATGAAGAGAGGACACAAGACAAGGCTCTGATTTATTGTTCTGTCTTTTACTTTGATGCAAGGATGTATTTCTTTCCTTTTATACTTATATGTGATGTTCCCACTTAATCAAAACCATACTTATACAATGATTGAAAACTTTTATTTTTCAAAAGTTGTTTCAATGACAAATAGGTGTTGTAATAGTTGGCAGTAAACAATATTAGCACAATATATGTATAATTTCTTGTTTAACAAGATTTATGATCATAACAGTCAAAATTTGAAAATATATTAATCTTGTTTTTTTTACCGCCTTTTTTCCGCCCTATCGCATTAGATATGGAGCCTGTGGATGATGTCATCCATAAGATTTACTTGTTGTGGTCTTACCTCTGTCACAAAGAAACGGTCAGACATTTTTAGTGTTACATCCCTGATAAAGCGCAAAAATGTAAACATGTTGGTCATGGGTTGGCATTTATAATCTAAGGATCTAAATCGTTTCCATTCTTTATGGATTTTTAATCTATTCACATATATTTATTGAGTATTAGGCAAGAAGCACAGTTACTTATGTGACGCCTACTACTAAAAAACATAAAACGAGAGTAAAACACAACAATCACAAAATACATAGTTTTTTTACATAATTACAAAATGGGTAAAAGAAAAATGAGTATAAAGAAGACATGTTGGTGATCTATCAATTACGAGAATGTACAGTAAAAAATAACTGCATCGAAGACATTAGAGTTTGTAGCAGTTAAGAACATAAAGAACTGTCATTGAGATGCTGTAGCTCTACTATACTGGAAAGAGCTGATAACACATAATTCGTTATATGGATATTTATGTTTACCGAAGGAAAACATATTGTTTTTGCTCAGTTTCTTCCTCTTCTTCTTCTCCAAACAGTGACTTCTGACCTGACCAATGGCATGATTTGTTGACGTCTGTCACCATGGTGACTGGTGTTGGGTTACATAATGTTGCAATTTCATGGTCTGCTCTGCTTCTGTCACCATATACTAGTAGTACATGTATGTGGATGTGTTTGAGTAAGAATTAACAGAGCAGACCATGTCCGAAGGTAAACATTATGCATTTGCTTTGCAAATGTTACTTCTCTAGTTATTGAGTACATTGGCACTGTAGTGGCCCAAACCCTTAATTTACAGTTCTTCACCACTCATCACATTTCCCAACGACAAGTCTTATTGTCCCTCTCCTGTGGAGTTCCTGAAACGTCTCAAACTCTGCAGGCATCTTGTGGGCCTTGTTAAACATCTTCCCGTCGTAGTAATGATACGGCACGCTCCGGTTGCGGTATGTCGGCAGGGGGTAGAACCCGTACATGGAGATCCGGTCACAGAACGTGGAGGCCAGGGCGAAGGTGTTCAGTCCGGTCGACGGGAGTCGAAATCGTTTCTTGAAGAGTTCCTTGTACAAGCTGTGGGATGGAGATATTGGATACATAGTGTCAAATATAATAAGGAGAGTAGAAACAAAGACACTCCTGGTCCCGGGCCGGGGTTCGAACCCACGACCAAACCCGGGCACCAGTCCACATGCCGACGCTCTAACGATTCGGCTAAAAGGTCTAGACCCCCCACTGTTACAACACCGCTATACGACATTACCCGACACCTCACGACATGACACGACAAAACGCAACAGTGTAAATGAATGCTATGCCACTGAGAAGAAAACTATATATAAAGGCAGGTTAGAAATTACGCACCAAAGACTTGCAAAAACATAGTATGGCACTCAGACACACCCCATTAATTTCATAAATGCCACCAAGAGACGAGAAGACTAGAGACCGTGCCTATGTAATAGTTTTAGAATTATGTTTTTGGATTAGTATTAGACGTCCTGTATACCTGCCATACGTTACTACAACTCTTGTATTTGCATTCCTGTACTAAGTTAATGTGTTACGCCGAAGGGCGATTATACCGGCTATACAGATACAGATACAGATACTGAAGTTGTACAGAGCATGTACAATACAAATGAAAAGAAAACTACTGTTAACATCTGAAAACCCACAAATTACAGAAAAAGTGGTATCCTTTGCCGTCCTCTGTCTTCAAAAAAGAAGTCAAACCCAGTAATTTTACCAATAGCAATTTAGGAGTATCAGTAGTTCTCTGTGTATTAAGTGCCTGTTTCTTCTGAAGTTCTTGCAATTAGCCCTCGGGCATGAATTTGCAAAAAAATAATGATAAAGGCTATCTTTTATTAATTTGTTTTAATTGTTTCCTTCGATCTTCCTACCTTACAAAACAATTTACTTACGAGTACCCTTTGTTCGACATGTAGGACCGATGAGAAAAAGCCGTTACAGCATCGATGTGGTTCTCCTTGATAGCCCTGTCTATCGCCTGGAGTTTCTTCTTGGAAGGAGAGCCTGGAAGAGACAGGGAGTAGCTGAAGATCATTCCCGGGGACTCGCTCAGTCGAGCCAGCGTCTTGGCGCGTTTTTTCCGCCTCAGTCCCCCGGCTACTTGCATCAGACGTGCGCGGTTGATTGTGGTGAGGTTGGTTCTCCTTCCGACGTCTTTCTGGTACGGAGAAGTCGGCGGGAGGTTGTTCCGTATGACGAACTCGTGCGCGTCGATCTCCCCACCACAGCGGCTGTTCAGTAGGATTCCCCCGTTCCCTATCACGGCACAGGTCCGGTACCGTGTAACGGGGCTGTGAGTGACGTTACAGCGTCTCTTCGAGTTGAGAAGGGTGAACGTTTTTGTGTTGCATTTTTTCATGAAGTTGTCCAGGTCTGAGAGATCTATGATGTGTCTTTCCGGAGAAAAATACTTCCTTGTGATTTTCCTGTGAGGGAAATATCAGGACATGCAGTCTACACCTTGATGATATTGGCATTTTGAGTAAAATTTCTAGCTCCATACGATTGATAGAGATCGTGAGTTGCTAGCTCCATACGATTGATAGAGATCAGGAATTAATGTCTTTGGCAATATTTCTACATGTCAATAGTCACAAAACGCAGCTTTTATTTCTAGAATGACGCCAAATTGCCTGCAATTTCGTAAAAAAAACATCATATGTCAAAAGTGGAACGTTCGTCAATGTTGTCACCTTCATAAACTCTTAACACCCTTTCAGAAATCGTTTGTAATTTGTATCATTCGATAGATATATCAACTTTATATGTTGTGTATCAAAAGCAAGTGTATTAAACTTACTGCATCTCTCTTATATCAAAGCTTATGTTACATTTTATTAGTTGTGTATCAAAAAGCAAGTGTATTGAACTTTCTGCAGCTGCCGTATATTAAAGTTTACATTAAATTTTGTATGTTTTGTATCAAAAGCAAGTGTGTAAAACTTACTGCAGCTCCCTTATATCAAAGCTTATGTCAAATTTTATTTGTTGTGTATCAAAAAGCAAGTGTATTGAACTTACTGCAACTGCCGTATATTAAAGTTTATATTAAATTTTAAATGTTTTGTATCAAAAGCAAGTGTATTAAACTTACTGCAGTTCCCGTACGGACGTCATGTTGAAATGTGCCATCACTTGATCCATGGCTCCCTCTTCCAAACTTTTGGTTGGTGTTTTGGTTGGTGTTTTGGGGGTTGATGACGCCAGTTTTGTCACCTTCAAAACACGTGCACTGCCGGGGATCATAGTGGGAAGTCGGAATGCAGCTTTGTTGTCCCACACCACGTAACACGTCATCACGATCAAGCAAAACACTACCACGGTGAACTCCTTCCAGTCGACCATCTTTGACTCAAACCTGTAAGAAAACACAGATCTGGATTTACTCTTACGATCGTTTAGTAGTTATATAAGGCCACAGCAATTAAATTTTATGGCTGACATCCTCCGAAGACTCCAAATCTAATGCGAGCGGGCGAAAAAAAAAACAAGGCGCGCCGAAAAAACAAGGTTCCTACATTTTAACATTTTGACTCGATCATTGTACAAATGGTTTTAATTCAGTGGGAACAACACACATACAGCCAGGCAGCATCACATATCATTGCATCAAAGTAAGAAACAAAACTTTAAATCAGAGCCTTTTCTTGTCTCCTCTCTTCATAATTATCTGTCATCCACGTTCCGGCATGGCAACAGACATGTTTGCCCATTTTCGGCATATTGACCACTGTCAGAAGGCAACAATTTTTTTTCAAAATCAGGCAAAAATCAATGCGCGCGCTGATGTCATCCATAAAAATTACTTGCTGTGGCCTAACGTACAATGAAAGGAAACCTCTTTCGCAGAACAGGACTTCTGAATGATTGATCTATTCTTTATGCTCGCTTCAAGGCCACACCAAGTAATTTTTATGGATGACGACGTGCTCTCGCATTAAACTAAATCTGTACTTTTTTTCCTTCATGTAATACGGCTAGGGGATTCTACCTGCTATGTTCTTATAGTTACATGATTTTGTCAGAGAGCCTAGATGGAAATATAGGGAGGAATGAATGTATATGTATAAATGTTGAAATAGTTTGTTATGGGGGAGGGGGGCGTACTTTATTTGGCGTATCATGCACTCACCTGGTCGGTTCTTCTCTCCTCTCCTCAGACTCTAGACCGTCATTGTTGTACCAGCAGCGCTTGTCTGAAAGTAGTCTTGATCTGCCATCTCTTTTAAAAAGGAAGAAATCACTTGTTCTTCTTCAGAAAGGGAACCAAACATCGCGACAACACAACTTCGGCTTGTGATGCAACCCCGCACAGTGCTCTGGATAGACTGGTACAACTTGTTTCATGTTGGAAGACAATTGTATTGCAGTTTGAGTACATTCCGCTAAAGGCGCTTGACGTCTACCAGCTAAAATCGTAACCAAAACATGTGGTAGAAAAATGGTTCTTCAACAGTACCAAGGGAATCCAACAGGTGGCTCAAACCTTCTCTGGGCGGCTGGTTGTCATTCTCCCACGGCAGAGCCATCCCGCGGCAAATACGCTACTAGTAAGGAAGCACCACTGCCTTGGGAGGATGCTGGTTGGCCGCAAGAGAACACGTTAAAAATTCTACAAAACGCAGTATCAAAACTCTCACCCGCCCAGAGGCCTGCACAGGAGGCTACTATTATCAAAATCCAATAATTTCTTACATAGGATATTTCATGACAAGCTTCTTGCAAACTGAGTTATGCTGCTAGCTAAACCACAATCAACTAAACAACACAACAACATCAACTAGACATCCCCGTTTCGGCATAGCAACAGACATCTTTGCCCATTTTTTGGCATGTTGACCACTTTCAGAGGGCAACAAAATTTCTTGTCTTTTTTTCCCGAAACCAGGCGAAAATTAATGCGCGCGTTGATGTCATCCATACAAATTACTTGCTGTGGCCTAATCATCGTTTACTAAACAAATATAGCTGAGAAGCCATCCATTTTCACATGCTGTTCTTTGAGGGTTTGACGGCATTAATGGATCTATACCAGCCTATGTAGAATTTGCACGTGAGACCTTTACAAAATATGGCACTGTTTCACGAGCCTCCCCATCACGTGTGTCGTTCCCTTGCTTATATAACTCCACGGGGGGTGAACGGCCGTTCACAGCGCTAGAGTTCAACGTCCGGTACCGGTGTTGTAATCTCCAAGCAGATCCCTCTCGGTGGCAAAAAGACAGTATCCATTTATATAGCCAGCAGGGTATAGCCAGAGAAGGTCCGCGGCCACCGACGTTGGTGGGGGTCAGGACAAAAAAAAAACGGCCATCATATATAAAAATGTATTAACGATCATTCCCCCACAACCTCTGCTTGGAGAGTACGGTGTTGAGCTAGCCAAATCCTTGAGCTGCCACATATGTGAGAGGTCTGGTCAGGTGTTTAGGGTTAGGGTCAGGGTTAGGGTTAACTTTGGGTTAGGGTTAGGGTGGGTATTTAGAGTTAGGGTTAGGGTTAGAGTTGGGATCATTGTTCAGGGCTAGGGTTAGACTTAAGATTGGGGTTAGGTTAGGTTAACCGTTTAGTCTCCCACATCACGACCAAGCACCCTCCCATCCCTTATCTCAGGTATAATGGAAACCCCCCCATTGAAGTAGTGTCGGAGATGTATTTGGCAGGATCTAGGATCATGTCCGGCTGGACACCGGGTCCCTGCCTGTTGACATGCCGGCCCTGCACGTGCGACCTGCGCGGGAGGTCACCCCGTCCCACGGGCCGGCCTCTCACGTGCCGAGTTCCACCTTATATAACTACTCAGAGGTGAATGACCGTGCGAGCGCGCATGTGTTTTTGGTACGTTTTGAAGCTTGCAATGTACGAATGGCGCCAGGCAAGCAATGCTAAATATTTGTTTGAGTGTATTATCAAATATTTCTATTTTCCATAATGTACAATTGCCGTCGAGAATATAAGATGCGTCCACCGTGACTTTTGTCTTTGTTCTTTTGTTTGATAAATAAAAAGAAAAAATTATTTTTAATCGGACCTACATGCACGTGTATATTAACACACTCATATTGGGGCTGTAGCCATTCATTTGATGACTGTTCTCTTATTTACGGTCTTATACATTAGTCCCTGGTCAATATCGTTATAGTACAGGTTATTAGCCTCTACCAGGCTTCTGGAGGCGGCTGGAAAGAGCAGAAATCGGTCAAATAGAGAGATAACATGCCGAGCGAGGGAGTTGGTCCGCTAGAGAGTACATTTTTAGCGGCAAACTGTTCTCTCCAGCAGACCAACTCCCCCTTCATTCTATCTCTCTATTTGACCGATTTCTCCTCTTTCCAGCTCCTTTCCGAAGCCTGGTAGAGGCTATTCTACAGGTTCTACCCATCCTCTACTAGCAGAGGTTGTGGGGGAATGATCGTTACATTTTTATATATGGCGCTTTTTTTTGTCCTGACCCCCACCAATAATCTCCAAGCAGCTCTCGGTGGCAAAAAGACAGTATCAAATTGGCCAGGCAGTATTAAGCTCCGCGGCCACCGACGTTGGTGGGGATCAAGACAAAAAAACGGCCATATATAAAATAAAAGGTAACGATCATTCCCCCACAACCTCTGCTTGGAGAGTACCCCACCAACCCGTCGGTGGCCGCGGAGCTTCTTTGGCTAGTGGATACTGTCTGGCCAATTTGATACTGTCTTTTTGCCACCGATAGGGATCTGCTTGGAGATTACCCATCCTCCACGTGTGACCTGGGCAGGAAGTTTCCGCTGCTCCACGGGTCTCCTTCTCACGTGCATTGTTCCACCGTTATATAACGTCCCGGGGGTGAACGGACGAATCAGAACGCTCTATTTACGCACTGGCGCGACACGTGACCCCGTCACACGTGCGGATTGGTTTTGATGCTTTGCGTCGTCTGCGTTGTGTCGTCTGGAGTCTTTGGAGCATTAGGCTTGGATTAATGAAGGCCTTTATTGCACATTTCTGCCACACTTGGTTAAGTACAGGTCACAACAAAGCAAGATGAATAGACACGGTTAACAGATACAAAATTAACTAACTATCGTTATATAAATTCAACTTCTCCTCGCTTTTCAGTTATTGTGGAAATAAAGGTACAGATCTGTTTTTCGATGGGTGGTTTGTCTAGTCGCATAAGGAATATGAATTTTTCTACAGTACTTAAGTGCATGAAATAGGGGAATAGGTGTTGTACAGACATAAACAGTTCCTCTCTCTGCTATACAGTTCTGATTCTATAACAAAATGGCGTTCGTCTTCTATTTTGTTCAAGTTACAATATTTACATAATCTGTGTTCAAGGGGAGTGCGGGTATGTCTTCCGATTTCAATGTGTAATCTGTGGCAGCTTATTCTAAGTCTTGTGACAGCATTTCTCACCCTCATATTTTCGTTACTTAGATATTTAATGTACAGTAGTACATTAAATACAGTAAAATAATCCCATATGTTAGACCGGAGTCTAAACCAGTGTTAGACATTGCAGACTATTGTACTCGTGATAGCTTGACAACTTGAGTGTGCTGTCGCCATGGAATTTGATAAATGTTGGAATACAAAAAATAAACTTCAGTGTCTAAAAAAAAACTTATTGATGTATATTCTTTAGTTTTGACCTGTATGGGAGAGCCACACCACACGCTCGTTAAAGAACCCACCACACTTATCGAACAGAGCAGGGGACCTTCCCGGTGTGAGTGGTTCAAACCTTACAGTCTCAGGTCTCAGGTTTGACATCATTGAAGAGGTGATAGTCACCTGTTATGTCAATCCTTCCACAAATGTGGCAAATCTTCATAAATAAATAAATAAAAGATAAATAAATAAAAATAAATAACTTTGAGCTTAGTGTGATGTGGGTCTGGTATCCAGGCTACGTTGGTCACTACTCTCCAAGCAGAGGTTGTGGGGAATGATCGTTACCTTTTTATATTTGGCCGTTTTTTTTTTTTGTCCTGATCCCCACCAACCCCGTCGGTGGCTAATGGAGCTTCTCTGGCCAATGGATACTGCCTGGCCAATTTGATACTGTCTTTTTTGCCACCGATAGGGATCTGCTTGGAGATTAGTTGGTCACCGAGCCCCGTCCAATGTGATACAAGTGTATGAGGGTAGATTGGCATGCTAAGAAAATACAGAGACTAGTCAAAACTCATACTCACAATCAAGAAGGCACATTAGGCCAGGTAATTTTTATAGATGACGTCCGCGCGCATTGATTTTGGCCTGTTCCCAGAAAATAAAAACAATAAAAATTACGCTTCCTGTAACTATGACCAAAGAGTCACGACAGCTGGGATAAGGGAAGATGAAAGGACAGGACGACAACTGCTGTTACACTGATTTATTGCTGTTTTCTTGACGAATAAAAGACTTGTTGGTTGTTACACTGTCTTCTCTCATTCAATTTGTGTCCTAACATTTGTCGTCCATTAGTATAAGTTTCAAATCTAGGCATCTTCCTTTTTTCGGTCCTTCTTGTGTTTTTTTTCGCGCTCTCGCATTCGATTTAGGGTCTCCAAAGGACGTCATCCATAAAAATTACTTGATGTGGCCTTATCGTTTCATTTGTTTTCGTTTCAACCCAAATGTAATCATTTACTTTCTTATCTTATCTGGGTTATTTCAGAAGGACTGTTCCAGCGCTGTGGCTGCGAGCCGCATGTGAATATGAAAAGAGATGCGTCATTCGCTGTACAGATACTGGAAATGTGGACTTGTTACGCGTATTATGATTGGCTCCCCACTATGACATTTGGAAAAGTACACACGTGATCGAGACCACACGTGTACGCAGACGACATGAAGAAAGACGACAGGTAGAAAGCTTTTAGCAGCAGTGCTCAGGTGCTTCGGAAATCCAGGTTCAAGTCCAGAGCTTGTTGGGTCAGGATTTCCCAGTCACAGTGTAAAACATACCCCTGGGTTGCGCCGAACCTGGTGAAAAGATCAACTCTAAGCCACTGTCAATTCTGTTCACCTAAAAGGTCATGGTGACCTTATAATGGCGTCTGGCTGCACAACGTAGAAGGGTCTATTGGGGGTTGCCAGTATAGTACATGTTGTTTGTGTGAATTTCTGAGGCGTAGTGGTAGTAATGGTTTGTGTATTCAGTCGTTACAAATTACACCCGCATCTTATATAACACTTCTGGCAGCCCTTAGCTGAATTGGGGGTGATGACAATGACAAAACGCAGACTCCAGCTCAAAATTAGAATCAATTGAATAACAGTAGAATTTGAAATGTCAACGCATCAGGTCGTAACATTACATTATATCTAAAATAGAGG